AGAGCTACTACACCAAAGGGCCCAACTGTGTTAGAAATGATGAGGATTGCACAGGGTAGGACAGGATCTGTTGCTCACAGGGTCACTATGAATTGGACTCAACTTTGTGGCAATTGACAAAACCAATAATTACTTATAACATAAATCTCCTTGCTGAAATTGAAGAGATTTTTAAGTATTTATGGATAAAAAAATCTGCAACCTTCAGAGTGGATCACACTTCAACATAGAGAAAGAAAATCCTCACAAGTGGATCAATAAGCAACATCATGATAAGTAGACCAAAGACTGAAGCTGTCAACCTTCAATTGTGAAATGGCACTATAATAAACATCCCTGAAAGTAGCAGTCCAGAAATAAAGTGATACATTTATTCCATCTTTAAAATCTCCAGAAACTTCCTTTAAGTCTTTGAAAAGCAAAAAGGTCAGCTTGTAGTCTAAGACATGCCTGAATCAAATGATAATGTTTTCCAACATCTCATGTACATGTGGAAGTTGTACAATGCGTAAAGAAAACTGAAGAACAACTGATGAACTGATGGCTTTAAATGATATTCTTGGTAAAGAATATTAACTGTAGCGTGGACTGATAGGAAAAACATGGCTGCAGAGTCAAATGCAACTCTAAATGAGGATAAAGAAGAAAGCAGATTGTTTCTCAGAGTCTCCAAGACTATAATTTTCAAAAAGTAGACTGGCTCATATTTCCTTCCATGCAGCACTGGTGGATTCATTCAGCAGCTCAGTGATTAATCCTTCAGCCAACATAGTTCCTTTGGAATGCCAAAGGAGTAAATAAAAACGTCTTTAAAGTACAGTTTCTTAGAACTGAACATAGCTGGGCTTATTCTTCTACTCCTTGGCATGTTATTCAGAAGAGCCAAGTCTCTGTACAAAGACATCATGATTAATAAAGTGAATGTCATCAACAAAACAGGATCACTTTCAAAGAGATTGACTGACCCAATGGTTGCAACAATTGTTGTGAGGACAGTGCAGGATTCTATATAGTGGGGTGTTGTTTGTGGTTTTTGCGTGTTGTTTTTTTTTCTGTTGTTCAATAGAGTCACAATAAATTGAAACTATGCTAATGGCACCTAAAATTTAATTTTTAAAATAATTTCCTAGTTCTTAAACTACTTAACCATCCCAAAATTTGACATAAGCATACAACATATATATCTTTCAGGAAACTAAAAAAGATTAAAACTCTTATCTCAGATAATATACTACAGTCACTTTTTGATGTCCAATCTAACCTAGCTTTACCTTCTAGCTACATCAACCTCTCTCTTAGAGCTAATGTTTATTTGAATGTTGCATCTTTCCTTCTGAAAGAATAATAAGTATTAGAATGATATACAGCAAGGTGAAGGATTCTAAGTAGTAAGTTCTAATACAAAGACTCATCACTGATGTTGTGATAAATAGATACTGGCCCTGAATATTACCAATTTCTCTACTAACTTTGGAAGATTAAATTATTCCTTTATCATGCATCAGAATTTGAACATTTTTACATTGTCAGAAACATTTTAACTCATTTCAACTAACAAGAGTTGGGATCTAGAAAATAAACCCAGAGAGTAGAGTTCAGAACCTTACTAGGAAAATTTTCAGGCCTAGTAAATTAATATAGGGGTAATCTACCTAGTATGCAAACTCTGTCTATCTATATCTCTGTCTATCTTCCAGTCTACCTATCTATCTTTGTGTGTGTGTGTGTGTGTGTGCCTACCATTGCCACACAGATATGAGGCAGATATAAATAAGAAATCATTTGTCCTAGAAACCTTTAAAGCAGGTGGATAAAAAGTAAGTAAAAACACATGATTTGGCGCTGAAAAACAAATGAATAGTTTACTTTTCTTTGAATGCACACTATGAATTCTAGTTTTTCCTGGGTGAAAACACATTAGAGGGAGCAATTTTTTTAGGTAAAGAAAGAAAAGATAGAACAGAAAACTGTGAGTGAGTTTAAACAAGGGCATGGAATATTATATATTTGCTTTCTTCAGAAGAGAAAAAAAATTAAATCCTTCCAGATAATTGTAATTTCATATATTTGAAAGCAATATCCTTATTTATTAACATTTTTTCTTGATCAAATGCTATCCATAATGGAGACTACAAGTTTGTAGATAAGTCAGAACAGGTGCACATGGCTGTTATTTAATTTTACTTTTCTATAAGACAGGCCTATATTCTTATAAATACTTTAAAATCATTCGGCACAGAAAATAAAAATGATTGGAATGTGAAATTAGTTTTAAGATGATTGAATGATTCTTGCTGGTGTTGGAGTAAAAGAATTCATACACTAACCAAAAGGCCTATAGTTTGACGTATCTGGCAGCAGAAAGATGATGTGTTCTACTTCAGTCAAGATTTACGACCTCAAAAAGATTTTGGAGTCTTCTGTCTTAATGGCTCATTGTGTTTTCGAACTGACTTGATGGCATTGGGTTTTGTGTTGATTCAATCATTCCAAAGTGAGAGCAAATTTACATTAACTTAAAATACGTTTTAAGTAAAAATATTGTTGCTTTGATTAAAGAGGTTGGTGCGCCATGTATGATGGCAGTAAGGCGTCATGTATTTGAATGTGTACGGTGTGCCATGGTCCTGTCAGTAATCCAGTTCTCTACATCAGTCAGGCTCCTGAGGACTCTTAGCTTATTTCTAGTGTCCCATTTTCTAGGGCTTCAAGCTCTGATTTTCCCATCCCAGTTACTGTCAGGAATTATTTAGATTGTAAAAATCCATGCCTGTACTTGTTTCACTTCATCGGGTTTGACAGAACTGATTGGAGAGGCTTTACTCCCCATTCAATGGCCATTAGAAGTTGTCCATGAATAGGATGTTGATACCCTGGTACTTCTTATGTATGGTTTTTATAAATTTCATTTTAGAGATTTTATAAATTTTCCAATTGGGTTCATTTCATTATATTATCTTTAATTTTTCAATGGATATTATTTATTCCAATGCTTTTATAAATGGTACATAAAAACAACACACTTCACTTTTGTCTAGTTTCTGCCACTTCATGGAAACCTCTACAAGGTTCTGGAAATATAAATCTTTGTAAGAGGAGATTGCTCATCTTTCTGTTCCAAAGTAGTTGGTAGATTCAAACTATCTCTTTTTGGTTAGCAGCCTGTGACATTATACACTGTAGCAATTCTTGTTATGTCCTGTCAAGTCACCTATGACTTATAGTGTAGCTCTGAAGCCTGCCCTGTCCTAAGCTAGTCTCACTGACTCTAACACACCTGCCCTCACTGCCCCAGTTACTGTGTCAATCCATCTCATTTGGGGTCTTCCTCTCCTACACTGTCCCTCCACCCTTCCGAGCATGATGTCCTTCTCTAAACACCCATCCCTCCTGGCCACGTGGCCAAAGTATGTGAGATGGAGCTTCAAAATTCTAGCCTTCAAGGAGAAACTTGATTTTACCCTCTGTAAGACAGACCTACTTGTTTTCTTGGTGATCCATGGTAAGTTCAAGGCTCACCTCCAGCACCACAACTCAAAAGCATCAATTCTGTCATCCTTAGTCATTGAAAATCTCTGTGATGCATAGTAAGTAATTGCAAATGCCATGGCCTGGATCAAGCCCACCTTAGTCTTTATCCTGATATCACTGGTTCTTAGTATTCTAGAGAGATCTCTGACAGCAGATTTAGCCTATTTTCCCAGTGCAATATGTCTTTTAATTTCCTGACTTCTGGTGCCAAGGGTGTTGATGTGGAGCCAAGAAAGTTGTAATTGTTAACAATCTCAATCTCTTCTCCATCTGTCGTGGTGCTGTCAGTTGGCTCAGTGGTGAGCATCTTTGTCTGTTTAATGTTGAGCTTCAGTCCATATTGAGGGCTACAGTCTTTGACTTTCTGCAGCAAGTCCTTCAGGTCTTCCCCAGTTTCAGAAAACAAGTTTGTGTGACCTCCATAGTGTAAGTTGTTGAGGAATCGTCCTCCAATTCTGATGCCACTAGGGTTCTTTAAAATTACATAGCTGTACAATAGTTTCAATTATAATAAGGAGACACTAGCATGCGTCTATTTAAATTCAGTGACCTGTAGGACAGAGTAGAACTATCCACAGAATTTCTAAAGCTGTAACATTTATGTAAATGACTGCCTTATTTTTCTCCTTTGGAGCAGCTTCGTGATTTGAAGTGGCATTCACTTCCTAAACAACATGCCTCCAGAAACTCTATGAACTTTGATAAATGCCGATAGTTGTAGAGGGGCTTCAGGCCTTTTGTTCATGGGGCTGCTATGAGTCATGCTCGACTTGAAGGCAGTCAACAACAAAAACTAATTATTATGTTAGCAGGGTCCCTTTTAATTGCAAGAGTTAAAACCTCAAATGCATTATTGTCAAGTCAAAATTAACTCTTAGCTGATCCTCTACCAAGTTTCCAAGGCTTTAAATCAAAACAAAAGAGACTGTCTTATCTTTGTCCCAAGGACTAGCTAGTGGATTATTCGCAATAAAGAGAATATGAAAACAGCTCAAATGCCTACCAGTAAACAAAAGGATCGAGAAATTGTGGTATATTCACACAATGGAATACTATGCAGCACTAAGAAGCAAAGATAACAATTTAACAAAATACTAAATAAAATATCGTAGAGTCTAGAAAACATTATGTTGAATGAACTACTTGATTTTATAAGGACAAATAGTGCATAAGACCATTATTGTAAAAATAGATGGATAATTAGTAAGATAGTGTATAAATGTCAAAAAAGGGAAGGGAGCAGAAGAAACAGAAGGAGAAAAATCACCAGGATAGCAGAGTTTAGTGAATGAATTCAGGGGAGTGTGAGGGAATTGGAAACATTCACAGACTCTGAAAACCCTCTGGAGGGTCAGATATGAATTGGTTTCTTCTCTACAGCAAATAACATCAATAACAACAACAACAACAACAACTAAGATATTATCTGTGTTAGAAAACAATGTACTTTGCTATCAATTATTTCCTACCTGAAGTCAGAGCCTGCTCTTCTGCCATTTTCTGGAATTCCAGGATCTGGACACATGTCAGAGACCAAAGCAACACCTCCTTGACTCACTGCAAAGAAAGCAACAATGTTACAAAGTCATGTGGCTATTAGGAAAATACCTGGAGAAAAAGTGTAGATTATGTATATTCTGTTCTTAAATGATTATGACTAAAGCTGTTGGTTTTTTCAGACTGAGGGAAATTTTACCTACATTAAAATGAGCTTTCATTCTCATGCTTCAAAAAGTCAGAAACGTCTTACTAAAGTGAAAGATTGTCAACATTTTAGGGTTAAATTTTCTCCTTTGTTAAAAGATATTAATTTCATACAAACCTCATCTATTCAGTGTAACAACCTTTATGCCCGTTCAATGAAGTATGTTTAAAAAAATGTTTATACCTTTCCTTATTCTCCGTATATGACCATAAAACAATTATTAAGCTATATCCACTAACTCTTCTGTACAAAACATCTATTATAAATATTAAACATGCTTATTACTGAAGCCTCATAATTTTTTATCTTGTCTTCTTCTCCATCTTTATAATGTCCTTTTACATTCATCATAATAATATTCTTGATATCCCTCCACAGCCTTAGAGGCAAAAATTTTGAAGCTCTGTCTGACACATTTGGCCATGGAGAGAGAACTCGTGCTTGGAAGAGTGGCGGGACAGTGCAAGAGAGTAATATCTTGGATGAGAGGAATTGACTCAGTGACTGGAGTAGTAGGGGTAGGTATGTCAGAGAGAATGACATTGGCTCAGGATACAGCAGGGATTAGGGCTGTTGTACATAGAGCCACTATGAGTTGCAAGCGACTCTATAGCACATACCAACAACAAAGTACATGATCATTTAGAGTTGGATGAAATACACAATTACTGAACCAAAAAGAATTGGTTTAAATCAAACCATTTCAGGAGATGACATACAATAATAAAACAAGGGAGGATGAAAAAAGGAGTCCACTTTGCATTAAATTCATTCATTGACAAAATCTAAAGGTCTCAAGAATTGACTGAAAACCATTTCACATATTTTAGCAAACTGATGCAGCTATGGATGTGCTAACTAGGCTATGCTAAAAAATTTGGAAGACACTTACCTAATATACCTACTGGGAAGGAGAAATATTTGCTCTCACTCCACAAAAACATATTACAATAGAGTATGGAAATTATCAAGTAATAATATAATATGCAGGTAAAATCTTGTGAAGAATTATTAAAAAATGGCTGGAATCATACTTTCACAGGGAACATCCAGAAATCTAAAGCTAGGTTAGGAAGAGATCTTGGAACTAAGGTAATCATTGCTAAAGTCATCTGGATCTTGAATGAAACTAGAGAATAAAATAAAATAAAATAAAATAAAGACATTTACTTGTGTGTTGTATTCAGGGGCATTTGACTGCATGGTTACAGAAAATTACGGATAACATTGAGAAGAATGTAAATCCTAGAACTCTTAATTTTGGTCATATGAAACCATATCTACAGACCAGGAATCAGTTATCCAAACAGAACAAGTGAGTACTGCATATCTAAACTCACGACTGATTTTTATCAAGGTTGAATCCTTTATCCATACATAGCTAAATGGTAATTCAAGCAATTAATTCAAGAGGCTGAATTATAGGAATAAGAATGTGGCATCAGTATTTGAGAAAGGCTCATCAATGGCCTATGTTATACAGATGATTTCACTTCCTTGCAGAAAGTGAAAAAGACTTGAAGCACTTACTGAAGAAGATCAAAGACTTAAGTCTCCAAATGGATTGCATCTCAACATCAAGAAAATGAAATATCCCCAACAGTGAGCCAAGACGCCACATCATAATAGATGGAGAAAAGATTGAAAGTGTCAAGGATATCATTTTACTTTGATCCACAATCAACACATAAGATACTCTTTATTATTGTTGTTGTTGTTAGCTACTAAGTAAAACTTATAGCAACCCTATGAAAAACAGACCTGAATCCTGTCCTTTCCTGTGTTAATCTCATCATTCCTGATACATTTGACCTCATCACTGTCATTCTATCTCACTAGGGGTCTTCTCTTTCTTTGAACTTTCATCTTTCCAAGTATGATATCCTTTTCTAAGAAATAGCATATTCTAGCAAAATGTCCAAAGTATGAGAATTGAAGCTTTACCACCCTTGCCTCCAAGGAGCTTTCAAATTGCACTAGTTCTAAGACATATCTATTTGTTCTTTTGGCAGCCCATTGGGCATTAAGGATTCTTCTCCAACACCACAACTCAAAGTCATCAGTTCTTCACCTGTCATTCTTATTAACTGTCCACATTTCAGATGCATAGCAAATAATTGAAAAGATCATGTCCTGAATCAAGTGCACCTTTGTTTTCAAACTGACATCATTGTTCTTCAGTATTCTAGAGAGATCCCTGACTTGTCCAAAGCAATACATCTTCTGATCTCCTGACAACTGATAGTAAGGGTATTAATTGTGGATCCACGGAAAATGGAAACATTCACAGTTCAATCCTTTCTCAATTTATCGTGATGTTGCCTATTGGCTCAGTGATGAGAACATTTGTTTTCTGGATGTTGTGATGTAATCCATATTGAAAGCTGTAGTCTTTGATCATTAGTGGATTTGAACTAGCCACCTTTATTTTTAATTTTTTTTAAATTTATTTAGCAGCTCAGTGTTCCACACTGCACCATAAGGGAAATATATTACTTCTCCTAAGTTTCCCCGCCCCATTATTATCAGTTAGATGTGTACTACATTCCCTCAGGTAAATAAGATTTTGCTGTACCAAGTGAAGCTTACTGTATCAATAAAGAATGGCTATGGCCATTTCATGTGACTTATACTTCCCATTGTAGTGTAAGTGATGAAAACAAAGCAACATCACTTGAAATTAGTGTTGTGTCTGTTTCTTTATTATTTATCCCCTCATGACTCCTTGTTATTTATTCCTAACTACTCATAACTGACCTTCCAGTGGGTTTCTGAAGCTGTAAATCTCAGGGTAAGATATTGTCCTGCAGAGCTTTCGGTGGAATTAAACCAGAAAGGTGAGGCCTTTGAGTTAGCAATAAATGACATTCTGACAAACAAAAGAAATAGAATAAATTGAAAGCTTTTATTCACATCAGATTAAACCACTCTGATGCTTTGTAAACATAAATGACAAACTACCTTCCTGACCAGAGAAATAAGACTTAATTGAAATGCTGTGAGAATAACAAAATGTGTTAGACAATCCTGCATGGATTGCAGATGGTAGATAATAACACAAAAGTGATGACAAATTAAATGTAAAAATATGGCCGATTTTCTGAAAGAAAGATGTTTTTTTAATGGAATAAGGTGACAGCAAAGTCTGGTGACAACAGGTTATATACAGTCAAACAATATGCATCACACACTCCAAATTTATCTTCCATTAGCATCATGAGTAATTAACAGAGAAACTAAACTTAATCATAAAGTCCATTTACTTCAAGTAGTATTCTCAGTGTTTCTGAAAAGAATTTTCACAAGAGAAGAAATCTGGTCTTAAAATAAATTTAAATATAAGTCTATTGCATTTTATAATTTTCAAATATCAAGGGGTCTATGCCATAGATGTAATCAATGCATTACAATTTAGTTAAAATTGTGATGATCCATACCATAACGAAAAATATTCCATAGGTAAAATCATCATACATCATTAAATAACCTAAAGTAAGACATAAAACTATAAGTGGATGATCACAGCATGTTTAAGACACTGAATAAATTTTTGCATAAAATATGTTTGTTGTAGTTGTTCTTGTCATGTGCTGTCGAGTCTTTTGCGACTCATAGCGACCCTATGTACAACAGCCCTAAACCCTGCTCTATCCTGTGACAATCGCATTGCCTTTGACACACCCATCTCAATTACCCCAGTCACTGAATCAATCCATCTCATAGAGGGTCTTCCCCTCCTCCACTGTCCCTCCACCCTACCAAGCATGACGTCCCTCTCCAAGGACCTGTCTCTCCTTACAACATGTCAAAAGTATGTCAGACGAAGCCCCAGAATCCTTGCCTCCAAGGAGTAGCCTGATTTAACCCTCTCCAGGATGAATCTATTTGTTTTCTTGGGAGTCCATGGTACATGCAATACTCTTCTCCAGCACCACAGCTCAAAGGCGTCAATTCTCCTTCTATCCTCTCTAGTCATTGTCCAACTCTGGTGCATTACAAGTGATTGCAAAAACCATGGCCTGTATCAGGTGTCTCCAGAGAGACACCATTGCTCTTGTAGACTATATTAATGTTTGTTGTTGTTGTTGTTGTTATGTGCCGTCGAGTCACCTGTGACTCATAGCGACCCTATGTACAACAGCCCTAAACTCCGCTCTGTCCTGTGCATCTTAAAAATGATGTTTAAAGCCTATAAATTAATAACATCTCATTAGATTTACCAATGTCTTTCTGAAATATGTAATGCATGACAGAATAAACTTCTCCCATTAAATTGCCCTGTTCTTTCAAGACCAGTCATATGATCATCACTTAATACTGTTTTTGTTGTTATGCGCCGTCGAGTCACCTGCGACTCGTAATGACCCTATGTTCAATAGCCCTAAACTCTGCCATACCCTTTGCCAATTTCACCATCCCCGACACACCTACCCCCATTACCCCAGTTATTGACTCAATCCATCTCATTGAGGGTCTTTCTTTTTCTGCACTGTCCCTCCACCCTCCCAAGCATGATGTCCCTCTCCAAGGACTGGTCCCTCCTTTCAACATGTCCAAAGTACGTCAGATGAAGCTTCAGAATCCTTGCCTCCAAGGGCAGCCGTGCTTCACCCTCTCCAGGACAAATCTCTTTGTTTTCTTAGAAGTCCATGATATATTCAATACTCTTCTCCAACACCACAGCTCAAAGACATCATTTCTCCTTCTGTCATCCCTAGTCATTTTCTAGCTCTCTGATGCATAGCAATTGATTGCAAAGACCATGGCATGTATCAGGCACACCTTAGTCTGCAGACTGACATCTTTGCACTTCAGCACTTTAGAGAGGTTTCTAACCACAGACTTTCCCATT